AAAACACGCCTCCGTGGCTCGGGTTACACCAATCCTCGCTACCCAACGCGGCCAAAGGATATCCACCTCGAGAACCTCGAGAACCTATCGCTCCTCACAGGAAAAGAGAATCGTGCCAGGAAAAGAGAAACTCCGCATCTGTGTGTGCGGCGGAGCCGGGCATCCTTTCCAGGCTGCCCGAGCTGGTGCGCGCGCGCGGCAGCGGTTGCTATTTTGTGACGGCCCTGGCGAGCCGCGGTTGCTACTTTGTGACGGCCAGCCACCACTCCGTTCGCGATGATCAACCCGCTCTCGCTCGTCGCCGCCGCCGTCGCAGTCGTGGTCGGCATTCGCTGTGCAATACTTGGTTGCAAACGTCCACATAAGAGGTATTTGGTCGAGAGAGACAGGGGCGTGGTCAGCTCTCTCGGGTTGAGGAGCCGGCCCCAGAAGGGGACGTTCCGGCTCGAGTGTGGCAGTACCTTACTGATCCTGGTCATTAGAGCTGCCAGGGATAGCGTCAGGAGCCGGTAGGAGTCAAATCCTCTCATATTTGAGACATCGTGTCCCATATACTCTCGCACAACACAGCGGTTTTTAGCACATGCCGCACATTGCCCTTTCGCCTTTGCCGGGTCGCGGGTGTGACTGTGAGTTGATAACTGCGGACTCCAAGTGCTCCCAAGACCCTGCACCGGCACCGGCCATCGCGGAGCGGGGTGTGCCGCCGCCGCGCGCGTTTTTTTTGCTGCCACTTCTCCAGAGCCGCCGAGAGCGCGCGGGCTGTCTCACGTGTCACGTGTCAGGCTGAGCTTGAGGCCTGAGCTCCACACCGACTAGAGAAAGTAGAGTTTACACCACATCGACGCACATTGTCGGTACCGCGTCGTCGTCGTCCCACTATCTGGGACCGCCTCTCTCTGTACTCACAACGCCGACACGTGTGCCGCCAGTACTGAGAATATATGCCACACGCGCCGCGGAGTGGGGCGGCCCCCAAGTCGGCACACTGGCCGCCGCCGCCCCCCTCGCTCCGCACACTGGCCGCCGCCGCCCCCCTCGCTCCGCCGTTCACGCGGCCGTCGCCGGCAACGGGCGGGCAACCCACATGTGCAATCACGGCGCCGGCTGGCCGCTGCCAAAGCTCGAAGCAGTGGCGGGGGCGGTGGTGGAGGCGAAGGTTGCGGCGGCGCTGAGGCCGGCGCGGCCGAGGCTGGGCGCGTCCGACACCGCCTCCATCGCAAAGGAAGTGAACGGGTTGGCGCCCGCCGACGCGTCGCTGCCAGTCATCGACGAAGTGAGCCCCGGCTTTGGCTGTCCTCCCGCCGCGCCCGCCGCCTCCACGGACGCACCGGTGCCGCGTATGCAGTGGCTCGTCATCTGTATGGCGCCGACGATCGCAACCAGCAGGATACAGATGCGAGAGATGGACCAGTCGTGCGTGCCTAGGAGGTTCCGAGAGGGTTCCGAGAAGGTTCCGAGAAGCTGCGAGAGATGGACCAGTCGTGCGTGCCGAGGAAGGCGAGGATGCCGATGAAGACGTAGAAGCCCGCCTTGCCGCGCGGGACCGAGAGGATGTGGAAGTACAAATCGACCCTATATTCCAGATGGAGGCGTGAGGAGATGTTGTTCACCGCAGGGCGCGCGATGGAGGCGAAGCCGACCGCTTATTGAGCGTCTTGAAGACTGGCAGCGCCTTGAGCTCCGAAGTGAGGATGAGGCCGGCAAAGATGATGTTGTACACCGAAAGGACCATTCCGAGCGGGTTGAGCAGATTGATCAGCCCTGCGGCACAGCGGAGGGGAGGGTGGCCGCGGGTGTTTGGCCGAGCGTGCTCGCCGCCGCTGCAGCGGGAGTGGGGCTGGCGGCTCGCGAACGGACGCGAGGCGGCGGCCTCTGTGCCGCGTGACGCGTGCTGCGCCACACCCCGCTCACGTCCATGCGCGCGGCAACGGGCACGTTTCTGCGTGTGCGCGTGCAGCGGGGATGGCGCCGCACCCGACAGGCCACCGATAAACAGGAGCACGCCCGCGATGATGGAGGTGAGGTGCATCGACCGGTCGGGGTTGGCGCGCATCGCGCTCCAGCAGTCGGCGGCGCGCCCAGCGAAGCTCTTGCCCTCTTCCGACATTGTGCCACTCGTACCTGTTGCGCGGACTTGCACAGAGGGATCTCCTAGAAGTGTGCCCGCCTCCGTCGGCGCTGCGCAAAAGAATTCGTCACCGGGCCGCGCGAGAGGCGCTGATGGAAAATCCCTGTGTGGTGGCGGCGTGCCGTCCTCCCATCCCTCCCTTGGGTTCTCCCCTTCTTTCTTTCTGCGCTGATGGAGAAATGCGGTGTCTTTTGGGGGGGGGGGGGGCTCTAGTCTGCAGAGTATTGGAGCCGACAAGAAGAGAAATAGGGGCCCGCGGTTGTGCGTTTATGTGAACTCTTAATGACAAGGTTGTGAATCCCCAGGGCCTCCCCAGGGCTGAGGGCTCGCACCTCAAGTGTCAAGAGAGAGAGCCTCATAAAAAAAGGAAAATCGGAATTCAATTTAATTCGATGTCCATGTTTCAATGCTATATAGTGTGGGAACCCGCCGCGCTAGAAGTGCAAGCGCTCAGCCGTGTGGCGGTGGAGCGAGCAGGAGCAGGACGGCTCCACGGTCAGGGTCTGAGCTTTCCTGTCGCTGTCAAGGTTGTTGGGAATCTGGCATCGGGCTAATCTTGACCGCATTGATGATCGTCAGATTGTGAGGTGCACTGAACGCCCCCGCCATCGACTTCTTTCTTGCATCATACGAACGGATGCTCAGATGTCGCACGTCCATTTCGTCGCAGCCGGACGTGAGCGCTCGCCACGAAGGGATCTCATTCCTGCGAGATGCGGGCAGGCTCTCGCGCGCTAGCTGCAGTGAGATCCACGTCGAGTAGTTGCCCCTCCCGCCCGCACGAAACGACCTGGAGAAGCCTCGCTCGCACGCAAGGTCAAAGCCGCAGCTGAAGAGTTCACCGCCATACGCGCCTGCGGTGAACGGGTAAGGTTTGACAATGTACCCGTCGATCGGCGTGCTGTTTCTTCCCAGGCTTGTGAACGCCTCGTCGGTTCCGCTCGCCTCGATGGGCACGCTGGTCAGCATTTGGCGCGCGGAGGCCCGTGGGATGATGTTTGCGACGCCGGCCATGAGAGCGGTCGGCCGCCCCCCGCCCAACACCCAGCTCAGCCTCGGATGTACCCCGCACGAGACCATGTCGAATCCGATCGGGCTGTACGAGCTCACGTACAGTATGCCGAGGGGGCGCACGTTCGCGAGCACAAAGTTGACGCTCGGCAGCCGCGGGAACTGGACGACGACGTCGTCCTCCACGAAGAGCGACCACGCCAGGCCGCTACGGGCAAAGTCGAGCAGCGCAGCCCACAGCTTGACCAGCTGCGAGGCGTACTTTCGTTCGTCCTTGGGAAGCTTGGGCATCCCGTACATCTTGCTGCCAAACATGCACGCGCGTTGCGCCGGCGTGAGATCCTCCTGATCACAACCTACCACCAGGCGCGTGGGGATGCCTAGCCGACGGAGCTGGACGCGTTGGAAGGCGCTGCGATTGCCATCGGGCGAGTGAGACCAGAGAAGGACGTAGGCCCGATCCACGTTGAGCTGTCGCGTAGGTTCCAACTGCGGAAGCGACTCCATGGTGCAGCTGCTGAGGACTCCATGGGCGCAGCGTGGCAATCGACTACCATGCGGCTCGGCAGCTCGATGGTCCATGCGGAGCGCGTCATCCGTGCTGTTGTGACTGTAGACGCGACTCTGTGTAGCTGCTGAACGCTGCATGGGCTCAGCGTGACGGCTGACTGCGAGTCACAGTCAGAGGGGACAGACAGCGAAGCCGTGACTAGGCGGATAAGGTATGAAACAAGAGCTTTTCATATATCCGCGCTCCGTCAGAGTTCGCTCCCCCACTGAGGTCTAGAGACAAGAGTCGACAAGCTGCCGAGCCCAAATCACTGTGTGTGCCACATGGAGAGCCCGCCTCCACTCTTGGCGCTGCGCAAAAGAATTTGAGCGCCGGTTTCGCGCCGCCGCAGTCATCCCGCCGCGCCTGTTTCTCCTTTAAAAAATCTCCTCCGAACACTCAAAAAGAATCTGTGCCGGGACACCCACGCCCTTTGCACGCGTTCGATGGCCGAGCCGGTGAAGCACGTGGACGCATCGGGCCACGAGCACACGCACGGCCCCACGTCTGCCAAGATCGTGGCGCTCGGCACCGTCACGGTGGGCGGCGCCACCTTCATGATCGACCGCGACGGGCAGATTGAGGCGGGCAAGGAGACTGAGTTTGGCGTGGAGCGGATCGCCGGCGCAGAGGTGGTGCCGAGCGGCGCGTGGCTGGCGAACCCGCCCGGCTCCAACGTCGAGAAGCTGTGCGACCCGGTGACGGGCGACGGCCACGAGCAGCACTGGCACTTCAACGTCACGCCCCTCTACCCCGTCAAAAAGAGCAAGTTCGTGCTGCAGGCTGGCGGGGAGGAGGCTGTGGTCGACTTTTGCCCCGGCGCCGGCCCGTGCAACGACGGCATCATGTCCGTCTTTCCGGGCGTCGGCTTCCTCGAGCTTAAGCTGCACGGCGATGCGGGCGACCTCGAGCTGTGGCTGTACGCCAGCGCGGGCAAGCAGACGTCGTGGCAAGCGCGCACCGGCAAGCCCTCCCCCTTTGACATCCCGAAGGAGACGGTCGTCAAGCTCACCTTCGCGAGCCACGAGGGGAAGACGGTCGAGCTGCGCGTGCGGAACGGCGACCAGAACGAGGACGAGGACGGCACCCCAAACATGCGCGGCGGGCGCACCAACTACTTCATCTTTCCGGGCGAGAGTGGGCAGGACCCGACGTGGCTGATGGGCGAGAAGTGGCGCGGCGTCGTCTCCGTCTCCTTTGAGGCCGATGGCAAGCCGCAGCAGAGCGACCCGTTTGTGCTCGTGCCACACGAGGCGCTCTGAGCATCATCGTTCCGGCACCGTCGTCCTTGGGTGCTGCGGAGGCGCGACGCCGGAGAGAGCCGGTGCCGAGGAAACGTCCAGGAAAGGGGCGGCCCGCACGCGGGCGAGTGGGTCGGCGAGCGGAGTGCGGGCGACGTGCTCCCGTGCGCACAGCGCGGCTCGCGTGTGGGTGGCTGTCATCCTGTGCGCGATCAGAGATATCAGTGCAGGTGTGCACCGTCTGCGGCGGCGGGCGGGGCTCTGAGGGACGGCGCTCAAAAGTCTGCCTCCTCTGCGCTCTAGTCTGGCGTCTGCGCGGAGAGTCGAGTTAGAGTATAGAGAGAGGGCGCACACTCACTTTGGTTTTCATGCGTAACTAATCTATCGGCGACAGCCGAAACGGGAAAACGCCAGTGCAGGGCTCGCCCGCTCGAGACAAATTGAATATTTGACAAAAAAACCCTCTCCACAGAGTCTCACACTCCTCCGCAAATCCAACATGCTCGCATTGCACACATGGTCTCTCGAGCCTAGGGAGCCTCTCTCCCAGTCCGACCCACGGTCACTCACACTGTACACGCGGCCCTATCTCTGCGGCAAGAGGCGGGGCGCCGGAGGCGGAGCGGTGGTGGAGAGAAGGCGCCGCGCGGCCCGGACTTAGAGTCGTAGGCGCTCCTCGCTCCCCGTCCGACGCAGCCGACGAGCGGTGGGCATAAATGGACAGAACTGTATCATGACCGCACGCGATGCAGCCAGTGCGGTCGAGCCGGCGATCGGTTTGAGCGAGGACCCGGGGAGTGCTCAAAGGAGCGCGGCGGCGACTTCTCCACGCTGACGGCGAGCAGCAGAGTGAGAGACTCGCCCGAGCTCTGTCGACGCCGGAGGGGGATGGCGCCGCCGGAGGGCAGGGGGTGCACCCTCGAGGAGAAGGAGAGCCGCGAGGACCAGCCGTGGGACGAAGACGGCTTGCGGTAGAGAATGCTCGGCGAGGAGTGAGGCCGCGGCTCGCTGTGCCGTGCCAAGGAGGAGAGCGGAGATCGCGCGTGAGGCGACCTCCGCTGCTGCGACAGCCTCGGCGAGCGGCGCGGCGAAGGGACGGATGGGCTCCTTGAGAGCGGCGGCGGTGGCGAGCGGCCCTTTGAGATGCTGGTGCTGCGCCCGAGCAAGCGGCCAAGCAGATGCTGCTGCGGCGGGGCTGGCGTAGCGGGAGGAGAAGCAGCGACGAAGCGAGGGAGCTTTGGCGCAGCCGGGCAGGTCATGAGGCGGTTTGGGTCCACGATTTGACGCCACCCATGAACCGATCACCGAGAGCGAGCGGAAAAAGCGGCATTTTGTTCTTTTTCTTTTTTCGCCTTCGTTGTTAAGGTTCCCCAGGCCACTTTCGGGGGGCAAACCCTGCCCGGCCCCTAGAACCCCAGGTAAGGCCCAGGTGTGGCCTAGGGCATCAGAAGGGACCAAGAGGAGTCCAGTCTGAGCCATAGAGCCCATGTCTTTCTTTGCCCCCGAAGGTCGCGTTCAAATGCCCGGAACGGACGTCACAGTGGTGTCCGGCCGGCGCGATCACCGAGCTGTGACGCTCAGGGAAGCCCGATGAGGTACTGGTTTCTTTGCCCAGGGCTGGCCTTCCCCCCAGGCTGGATCAGCTGAGCAAGGTTTGGGGAGAATCCTATAGACAGAT